GTGTTTATTGTCTCCACCAGGATCTGCGTACCTTTAGTCATTCTGTAGCTGTGTTTATTGTCTCCACCAGGATCTGCGTACCTTTAGTCATTCTGTTATTGAATCACCTTACATCTACAAGACATAGAAACACCAAAATAGGAAAAAAAATTGTTTATAACACTTTTGTATCTTTTTAATCAGACTTTCATATTGTTGTAACTGGGCCACATGAAATGTATAACACGTGCCATATGGTTGGGAGGAGAATCCTGAGTTTTGGATGGGCTGCTGAAAGTGTTAATGCCTATTCCTCCTCTTTGAATGAAGAGTGACATACTGCCTACTGGGAACCTTTCACCCAGTCAAATGTACTCATTCACTGTTAAAATCTGTAATCGCTCAGAGTTAATTTTCCTGTTCACATGTAATTACTATGTATGGCATGCTGGGTTCTACTGTTTGCTGTCATGATAAATTTGCCGTTATTACAGAGTGTGACAAAAGAAATAACTTACTGCAGTTTAACTTTCTACATATATTAGTAAGGATTCTTTTTCTAATAAAGTCATGTCCATGCCATCACTTCAGAACTGTCAAAAGATATTTTGATGAAGCGCAAGTATACCTGCATCACCCAAAGGAGGTGTGCAGTGTGCTGTGTGTGATAAGGTCACAGTGACCTTCACTTAAAGGTCAAATAAGTTCAAAATGTCCTGTGAAATTTAGTCCTGGCTTTTAAATTATCACACCATCCACAGAAAGTGTATAGTTTAATGTAATAAGGTCACTGTCAGTGACCTTCACCTCTAGGTCAAAGGTGAATTAAGTACCAATCAACTATGCGTAAGTGGAGACATATATATTTTTGTCCACAAAAACAAACCCTTAGTTAACAAGTCATTCATTGAATCTTCTTTCCAAGACCTGCATGAAAGGTGTAAAAAGATTTACTCTGTACAATATACACTGATTGTTAACGTCAGGGTCGAGATTAAACCAAGCCAGAGTTTGGTGATACAGAGGACTCTCCCAAGTTGAGGTCGTTTTTTGTTCTCCATTATTGGCCCACCATCATCTGATGGTGGGCTATTCAAATCACCCTGCGTCCATGGTCTGTGGTCAGTGGTCCATTGACCGTCCTTAAACAATTCTTGTTATCAGTATTTTTCAAGAAGTACCAGAGGGATCTTTCTCAACTTTTGAGACTGATCGGATAAACAACATGGCCGACAGGCAG